TGGGGGACAGTATAGAGCCCTGTGGAACCCCACAAGTCAAAGGCTGTGGCGTTGAACAGGTGTCCCCCAATATCACCTTCTGGGAGCGGCCTTCCAGAAATGACCGGAGCCACTGCAGAACAGTGCCCCCGAGGCCCATTTCCGCAAAACGCCCCAGAAGGATACCGTGGTCGACGGTATCGAAGGCCGCTGAGAGGTCCAGGAGCACCAACAGGGACACACTCCCCCTGTCTAGCTCCCGGCGCAGATCATCCACTAAGGCGACCAAGACCGTTGTAAAGATCCCTTACCTTGCCAGCCAGGGTGGCAGGGCCCAGGAAGAGACAGGCTAGGTAGTTTCAGTTAGAAGGCCTGGCAGAGAGCTGCTGGAGCCATCTTAGTTTAGGGAAAGAGCTCCAGTTCAGAGAAGGGGGAGTGGCCGAGGCCTGTGCCAGCCCAGCAACAGCCAGGATTGGTTTAGGGAAGAGGGGCGGAGTTAGTCAGTTGGAGGGAAAGAGAAGAGATAGTTTTGACAGTTCAGTTTTTAGTTCAGCTGAGTTCTGAGTAGAGTGAAAGCAGTTTAGTTCTGGAGAGAGATTAGAGTAGGAGTTGGATTGTTTAGGAGTCTCTGTGAAGAAAAGGCAGTTTGCCTGTAGTTTGCACAGCACAGTAGGCTGTGGCAGACTGAGTTACAGCTATTTTGGGAAAGAAAATAGCTGGGGGTTTTATGTTTAAGAAATTGTAACTAAGAAAAGAACATTCTCTCAAGTAACCAATACGCTTATAAGAAACAAGAACACTTTTATCTGTAACCATCAAGCCTCTGAACCTGCATATCACTTGTAAATCTATAATTTGTAAACAATAAACTCTTTCTTGTTATTTTTAAAAGTCAAGCCTGAGTCAAGTGCCATTTTTGGTTTTGAATCCTTTTCCTTATTGAATCAACCTCTTCTGTTTCCCCTCACAGAAAGCCCTTGATAACACACAGCCTTTGGTGGAATAAAAAGCCTTTTAATAATTTAAACAGCCTTTTTAACATTTTAAAAAATAGCTAGAGGGTTCGTGATTTCTTTAGTTTTGGTGGCAGCGAAAGTTTTACATAACGTGACATCCCCTCAAGCACTATTAGAACCAAGGTGGTGTGAATTCCTTATTTAAGGAAGGACGGTGGTGGGATTCGTTTGACCCCCTGCCCAGACGCCTCTTCTGAGTTATTATAATTGGTGGCAGCGGTGGGATTTCTTTGATTGTTTCCCCCCTGCCTTGATAAGCCTCGAAGACCCTTATAACCGTCTCAGTTCCATGTCCCGGCCTGAAACCAGACTGTGCCGGATCCAGATAATCCGTGTCTCTCAAGAATACCTGGAGTTGTGAGGCCACCACGCTTTCCATGACTTTGCCCAAAAAGGGGAGATTGGAAACAGGCCGAAAGTTGTCAAATTTAGTGGGGTCCAGTGATGGTTTCTTCAACAGCGGTTTTATAATAGCTTGTTTTAAGCTTGCTGGAATTTCGCCTTCCCGGAGGGAGGCGTTAACCACCACCGTTACCCACTCAGCCAATCCCCCTCTGGCCTCCTTCAGAAGCCAGGATGGGCAGGGGTCTAGGATGGACGCAGTGGGCCTCATTCCTCCAAGTATCTTGTCCACATCCTCGGGCTTCACAAATTGAAAAGAATCCATCAAAATAGGACAAGCAGGTGCTCGTGTCACATCCTCAGAGACTGCATTTAACATGGTGTCTAGACCAGAACGGATCAAAGCGACTTTGTCTGCAAAGAACCGAGCAAATGCTTCACAGCATGTGGCCGAATTGTCAGGGCTCCCGCCTGGGATGGCGGGAGTTAAAAGACCTCTGACAATCCGGAACAGCTCCGCCGGACGGTTCCTTGCAGACGCAATAGTAGNTGCTTCACAGCGCGCGACCGAATTGTCAGGGCTCCCACCTGCAGTGGTGGGAGTTAAAAGACCTCTGACAATAGAAACTTTGGTGACTGTAGGGGAAAAGGCTTCAATAAAATATGTTCTTGGGGAATGCTGGAGCCCCTCGTTGCTTGTAACAATATACGATTAACATTGAATTAAACACTATAATGACGACGACAACAACAACACCAACAACAATCTTTTATTTATACCCCACCATCATCTCCCATAGGGACTTGGGGTGGCTTACAAAGCACACAATAGTCTTTACCATATATAAAATACAATATATCAACATTAAAACCAATAACATATTTAATATCCACATATAAAGTCCTTAAATTATAAAAACAAGAAATATATGCTTGAGTACTTTTGGGCGCAACTGTTCACAGTTTTGTCTTTATATTCACAATCTTGTTTGCTTATTTTATATTTATAAATTTCATACATAGCCAAATAGAACATGTTTATATGTTATTTTTGTACACTATGTTGCCAAAGTAATAAATGCATGTGGGTTAAACATGCAAAAATATATTGCATACATTTGAATACTTGTTTTTAACTCTTTTTCTCTAAAACTTCAGAATATTTTTGTATCATTAGTTTTACAATAGGAATGGGAACTATTAAAATGAAAGCATAATGTATCGTAGGTCCTCAAAAAGATTAACAGGTTTCAACAATATAGTGAACGTACACCAACATTCTGCAATTCAGATGTTCTGGATGGAAGATCCATTAGCCCCAGCAATGGTCAGAGATTGTGTGTATTGTGGTCTAAAACATCTGGAGGGCCCCAAAATAAGAGAGGCTGCTTTCAATGATTAACTTGGATAACTCTCATTGAACCCAATGGGATTATGGCTAAGAAGACGTGTCAAACTGCATGGTAAGCAGTCTATTTTTGTGCACCAGTATGGTTTTTCTTAGGCATTTAGCTATCGGATTGAATGATTCTATGATTGACAGAATCATATAAATATACATATGAATAAAGAAACAATAAAATACTGAATTTTAAAAGGTCCCACCCAAAAAACTAGTTTAAAATTAAATGTATTTCAGTCTGTTGAACTGGGATTACTTTAGCTGCACGAATGCAGAAGATTATAATTAATCCCCTTTTACCTGTGTCCAGAACACCATAGCTATTTACAGTTCATTCACTCATATTCAGTAACATATGCTGAAGATACTCTACAATTTATTTTTGGCTTTTGCGTGTTCAGAATTTTAATCTGCTTGTAAGATTACTGTGATTTGTTATTGCTTCTATGTGCCAACACTGATCTAAGTGAAGCCTTCTCTCAATTGTACTGTGCTATTTAGGAACATAATATTGTACTACTGTAATATTAAATCCTATGTAGGCCACAGCTGAGATTTATTCTAGAGTGACCATTCATATACTTCTTGGCTGTCATAGATAAAGCACAGTAAATATTATGCTTTGTTTAATATGAGGCACAATCCTTTATCATTTTGAAGTTTCTGAGTCAAGATAGGCAAGATAAAGACGGTCCATATCTTGGCTCAGTCATTAATCAAAATACAATGTCAGAAAATCTAAGGAAGAGTTGGAGCCAGACTTCTGAATTATAGCAGTTTGGCACCACGTTAACTGCTATTATGGCACAATGCTATAGAATTCTTGGGTTTATAGGTTTGTAATATATTTAGCCTTCTCTCTAAGTGAGCATTGGTGCCACAACAAAGTACAAATCCCAGAATTGGGTCATGGCAGTTAAAGTGGTGTCAAATTGCAATAATTCTGTAGTGTGGCTACAACAGGATATGGAATGGTAGCCATGAAGTCACTAGGCAAGATCCGGAAGTGTTATATATGAAGTTATATGGACACCACAAACTCCCAAACACACAAAATAAACAGGCCCACAGAGTAAATCATGCTCAAATAGTCACTAGAAACCAAAATGACTAAACTGAGAATACAGTATTTTATTTTCCACATACTATGAGACTGCATGACTCAATGAGAGAAACATAAAACATTAAAGTGGAAAGCAATAGGAAAAGAGGGAATTGCATCACAGATGGATTGATTCAATAAAGGAAGCTATAGTGCTGAGTTTGTAAGCCCTGAGCAGGACATTTGATGACTGGAGCTCTTGGAGGTCTCTCAGTTATAGGAATACACTAAGTCAAGGCTGATTCAATGGCAAATAACAACAAATAAAATCTTTGTCCGGGATATATATTAACCTTTAATAGCCTGTGGTTAAGGACATTTGTTTTTACAATACAATTTCCAGCACACTCTTTTTCAGAGGTTGG